TTCTTTCCCAGCATCAACAGCATCAAACCTTCAACCTACCATCCATGTTGCCCCGATCATTTCACGCATGACGATGATTGATGTTGTGAAAGAACTCAGGTTAACGCCTCAGATTTGTTGATCTCCTAAAACCACTCGATCCATTTTGGCGTCATGGAAGAGTTTATAATTCTGCTGAAAGAGGTCACTGTTCATGAGAGGGTGCAATTAGCAAAACATTGGAGCAGGTTACAGTCCATGTACCACAGCATCCATATTAATGGCAGGACCTAAGGTTTTCCTAAAGAATATTACACCCCCAAGCAGCTCACAGCCTGCTACAGTTCTTTCTGCTGGATGTCTTGGAGTTTTGTCTTTGCCAGATTAATGAAGCACACAGATTGTTCTTTTTCACTTGGCTGATCTTTCTAGGGGTCACCACAGCAGATCATCTGACTCACCATATCCCTAGCGTGCTGCTCTGTCACACCATTCCATTTCATATCCACCTTCACTACATCAGTAAACCTCCTCTGTGGTCTTCATCTTTTCCTGCCACCTGACAGCTCCATTTGCAGCTCTACCTTTGATCAATATATTCTGTGCATGTCTGAACCATCTCAGCCTTGCTGCTTTTACTCGGTCTTCAGAACACTTCGGCTGAGCTGTCCCTCTGATGTACTCGGCTCTAATTCTGTCCAAGTTAGTCACTCCCTTCAAAACTGTGAACATCACCATCTCTGCCAACTCTAGTTCTGTTTCATGCAGGAGCGGTTCTAGGATGTGACCTCTAGTGGTGCTTAGCCCCCAGTACTGTATTTTGGCTTGAACAACGCACCCCATGGTGTGGTTTTTGAGAAGTGCAAAAGCTTACAGCACCTGGTATTCCCAGGTGGTCTCCCATCCAAGTACTAACCAGGCTTGACCCTGCTTAGCTTCAGATATCAGATGAGATCAGGGTGTGTTTAGGTTGGAGGAACTCAGTCAGAAATAGGACTTTTAAAGGATCGTAACAAACAAAGACTAAACTCATGCAACCAGAAGTTACAACATATATCTCAATACTTGTCTCCATTTGCTCCACCTTGCTTGGACTCTCCTTTTAGTCTCACTTGTTCAAGGTTCTTTATTGTCATTCACATCACATGAAATGGAACGAAACTGTATACTCAAGATCCCAGTTACAGCCAAAAATAGCAATAATATAAACTATTTAAAAAAGAAAACAGTATTCAAGGATCTAAGATATACTCTAAACAATATTAACATAATATCATACGGTGTATTAAACAGCAGCCACTTGTGCTCTACCTGCTGCATGCAGTGGTTGACCTCAGGTACCAAAACTCATCTACTTTCAATTCTGTAACTCCTTGAAGCTTTTCATTCTTCCTCACATTCACACATGTATCTTCTGTCTTTCTTTTACTGACTTTCATTAATCTTCTCATCAAGGCCTACCTTCAACATCCCTAGACTCTCTTCCACCTGCTCCCACTATCAGTTACCAATCCCAATGTAGTCTGCAGGCACCAGACTCCTCATCAGAACAGGCCTACTTTTTCTATATATTTACGTATATTTTAGTTGTTTCTAATTTAGATGTTCACATGCACTTTGACAGTAAATACAGCTCATCAGAAGCATTTTGAGTTCTAGCTATTTATGGCTTTGTTGCATGTTTCTTTCCTTAATATTTGACACTTCCTGACCACAGTAGATTCGTAAAATCCCACAAAGCTGCAGTAATGGAGATGCTTTGACACCGCTGTTTTGAATTCACAATTAGATCTTGGTCACAGTTACTAAAAATCCTTACACGTGCCCCTATTTTCCTGCTTCCAACACATCATCTTTAAGAACAGAGTGTTCTCTTGCTGCCTAATATATCCCGCCCACTGCCAGGAGCCGCTGTAATGAGACAATCAGTGTTCTTCACTGCAGCTCTCAGTGGTCATAGTGGTTTATCTGTGCAAAAGAAGACTAAATGTTAAAACTCGTAGTCATAAAAATCAGCATATGAGCGATGTAGAGTCATTATTCCAAGCATTTTTCTCACTAACAGTTCAACCTTCCAATTTTAGCATCACAGCCCTACTGCTTTATTATTTCCTGAAAGCAGGAATCCATCATCCCCCTGGTAATACAGTAAATTACATCTCTTAAACATTTATGAGACTTTGTGAAAACAGTTTCATTGTTCTCCACCGGGGTTGTATGTTTTGGAGGTTTTCTTTAATTTTTCATCTCATCTAGCAAAAGAAAAACAAACACAATTTATGAATGTGTAAGGGTTGTCATGTTTTGGACCACTGTAACACATTAATGAGTTACTTATCGGCCGAGCACAAGAAGAAGGCTGAAGGGTTGTCTTTAGTGGGAAAGTTAGAGATGTTCTGTCTCCAGGCGGTGCTCTTTGATATGACTCCATTGTGCTCTTCAGTATGATGTCATATCAAATAACAGAGCCAGCTTTGAGCCTCGAGCTTTGTTTCTTCGTTCTGACTGAAAACTTAATCCCCTTCTTCTGTTTCACTTACTGGGGATTCCTTACGTCTCCCTGGCTTCAATCGAGAAAACATTAGGTTAGTTTGCCATTATGGAAAGGCCTTGTTGTAACTGAATAGGCTCTTTTTGAACTTAAGTCAGTGCTGTCTTTAGTGTTTTACATTTACTTTATCACATCTGTTGCACGTCAGCGGTGCTGCCCCCGGACTGACATGGTACTTCCCCCGCTGGATTTATCACTTGAACAAAGATTATGAAAACAAGTTTTTCCTTTCCAGTTTAAAGCTATCTAAAACGCCATATTTTCAGCTAAATTTAGAGACGTATACGTCAGTAAATGTTCCAGCAAATAGCAGCAGGAGCTGAAAATTTAGACTTTGCCATTCCCAGGCACCCAAATGTACTATATTTGGCTTTGAAAAAAATAAATAAAAAAAACTTTATTGCCTGTGTGTCAATATGTCAGGGACTCAATTTTGAGTTAAATTTAAAAAAAAAAAATCACTTTCTTTCCAGTGGAGGAGGACAGAAATCAAACGTATGAGTGTAATTTAATGTGCTTGGGTCACACATCAATAAGTAATTTTAGTCTCACTTGGGGTCTGAGATGTGATGGGGATAAAATTAAGAGCTTGCGCAACCCGAGCCTAACAGTTAAATGAAAAGCAGTTCTAGCACCGACAGATTGATTTCATAGGAGGTACACAGGAGTTGCAAGACATGCCCGTGAATTTTAACATTGTTTGCTGTTTGACAGTGTCAAGCATCCCGTCTCTATCACATCTGCTCAGTACAACACCGGTAGCATGCGCATTACCCCAACATTTATGCATTTAACATGTGGTTTGTCTTCCAAATCTCAAGGATGAAGTATTTGTCTTCCAAATCTCAAGGATTTGGAAGACAAATACTTCATCCCTCACTTATCCCAGCCATCATCACTGACAGTCTGCTTTGCTGCCATGTTTCAGGGGAGATGTGGACGTGTCGGCTGTGTGCCAGTACCAGATCGGGGACGTGAAAAAGGTGTTCGAAGGGTCCTACAAGGAGTACAGGGAGGCGTCGCAGAGATGGGGTCGCTACACGGGTCCTGTTCCTAGCCCCCGGCCTGGATCGGTAAGAACCTCAGAAGCCAGCGCTCGTGATGTTTGATAAATGTAGTTTCCAGGCGATGTCAGGCAGCAGAAAAATAGAATTATAATGGAAGAGATGTGAGGGCAGAGGTGGGATGGAGCAGTAATGAGAAAGGAAGGGAGAGACGAAAAAATAGGTGATGAGGATGGAATCAAAGAAGCTGGCACGATACAGAAAACTATGCACATAATGATCCAGGACCAACAGAAATAAGAAAAAGGAAGGAGGGTAGTGGAGGAACGAGGGGAGCAGAGGGCAGTCTCCTCTAAGCCAAATAACCATGCCAACCTGTGTCAGCGCCAACTAAGAAGTTTCCTCCTCTTCCTTCTGTCTTCGTTGTACTTTCCACCGTTCTGTTCCCTGCTCCCCATCCCTCCTCCATCCGTCCATCCTGTCTCTGCGTTGCAGTGTATAACCAACTCCGACAGGGACAACGGATACAACAGCTCTCTGCAGCTGCCAGACGCCATGCTAAACTTTGCCAAGAAACACCCGCTGATGGAGGACAAAGCTTCAGCTCGCCCTCTGCTGCTGGCTAAGGGGGTCAACTTCACGAAGCTGGCGGTGGATCGGGTCAGTGCCCTGGACCAGCGAGCGTACGGCATGCTCTTCATCGGCACAGGTGTGAATAACACAGAACCTCTCTGTCGCAGTAAAGAAGTGGTGTTTTGTAGAAAGGTATGAGCTCCAGAGTGAGACTTCAAATGTGTTCATTAGTCTTTGAATGACATTTCAGCTCAGCACTCAGACTTGAGTCACTTCAGTTGCTTCGTGCTTCTCCCCGTGTTGAAATCTCAGTTGTTGTTTTTCAAGCGACAGCTCCCAACACGGTGACATTTCATCTGAAACCCCTGAATAAATCACTTACACTTCAACTGGCTTCACTCTTGAATCTTCAGATGTTGCCGTAACATTGCCACACGCATCAAATAAGTACCTCTGCGGATCAAACCTTCAGCTGTTTCACTTCCACTCATTGCTTTTTCTTTGTTTTTAAACCCGGGCCTGCACTTATTTTCATTGGCATTCAATGCAGTTACTATTCATCTCCTCCAGTGCAACAGTTAACAATAATTTAACGTGTTTACAAGGCTGCACGCTTTGAGAAAGGTCTTTTTTAGTTATAGATTAAATCGTTTTCCTCTAAAGGCAGTACAGGTCAGAGAACATCCTGTTCTTGGCAATAGTGTTGAATCACCTCCTTTGTATACTGTGCATGAATAGGCCTGATAGATTCAGGTCAAAGCTGGAGTATGTTTTTCTGCACTTTTGTTGTATTGGATCGCATCATGTGGGAGATTTTGATTATTTGACTCACCTACTGTGCTGTTGCAGTTTAAACGGAGAATTTGGACCCTTTTTTTTTTTTGGAACACAAAAATAAATTTTGAATTTTGTGGCAGCAACACATTCCCAAAAGTTGAAACGGGGTCATATTCCCCTCTGTAAAGCATCCCATCTAGACCTATTGCGATAAACAATAAATCAATTAATCGCATGAAAATTATCGACCTCGTTTTCATTTATCAGCTTTATCATTTCTTCATCTCTCTTTCTACTGAAGATGCTGGATGACAAAAAGCTCAACTCCGACGCTCTTCACTGACCCCTTCCTTTCTCTTTTCTCTTTAAAATACATTTTAACTGTCCAAAATCATGTTTTCGGATAATTAAAAGTAGCTAGCTGAGAAGCTAAGCTACGAGCTAAGCTAACAGGCCGACCTCTGGAAAAAAAACAACGTCTTGTTGAAGTTCCAAAATTCACGGTTGAAACCCATGCCTTTGTGTAAAAAGTTGTTTTTCTTTATAAAAAGAAGCTCAGAACTTGTTTACTGATTTATTTTATTAAAAGCTTTGTGTGAAAAATGCTATGCTAAAGAGTTCAAACCACACCGAGCGTCCGCCATGTTGAGAACCAAAGAGAGACAGCCCATGTCACGTCAAGGGGCCTCCCTCGCCATTTTTTTAAAGAGACACGCTGCTCGCTTCCTCGCTATCCATCCTTTGGTTCAAGTAGTCTTATACTGCCATCTGGTGGTCAAAAAATGGTAATACACTCAAAATAAAATTAACCAACATTTCTTCATAAATTTGTCAATAATTAATAATTATAGTCAAATTTCAAACAATATTATTGTTTATCACAATCATTTTTGGAACAGTTAATCGCCTAGCAAAATTTGTTATCGTGACAGGCCTAATCCCATCTTCTTTTAACAAGAGCCTGTAAACATCCAGGATCTGAGACCAGCTGATGGAGTTTTTGGAGGAGAGTGTTGTCCTATTGTCTGATATAAGTTCTAGCTGTTTAACAGTTCTGGATCCTCTTTGCTGGATTTTTTTGTTTCATGTTGCATCAAATATTTTTTAATGAATGTAACTGCAGCCAGGCTAGTTCAGCACCCGGACTCTACATCTGCTTCTCCATGGTTAAGAACAATCCAATCTCCTTGTTTCTTCTCAGGTGTAGGTGTGTCTCATTTGGGATGTCTCCCCCACCCTGTGGGCGGGATCACCTGGCGTAGCTTTGGGTGGCGAGCGGGACTTACTTTCTGTTCGCTGAACACAGTAACTGAATGACGTGTGCCTTCATGTGCAGCCTCTAAAAGTCTCCAAAAGTTTCCAAACACACCAAAAATGTAGCTAGTTTTGTTGCTAATCACTTTTTGTGGGAAACAAAATAGCTGCTAGAGGCGTCTGATAAGTTGCTAAATATAGCAACAAAGTCGCTAAGTTGGCAACACAGAGAGTTTGGCAAGAGCAGCCGTGGCTCATCCAGTGACGTCGAGCCATGGACCAAACAACAGCAGCAGTTTGCTGATGTCAAATCGTTTGCTCGGCTCGCTTGGAACCATGGCTGAGCTGGGTCCAAAAACCAAGCAGGAAGTCAATGGAGTGACTACCGGCCAATGCAGTCAATGCAAACTGATTCAATTCATGTCCGAAGGGAGCAAGCGCATGTTGTTCTTAACATATATGTATTTTTCTGTACTGATGGGGCCTTTCTAGATGAGCTGCCCATGCTGTAGGCACAAATGTACCCCCATACCATCAAAGAAGCAGGCTTTGAAACGGTAAACTGATAACAGGCTGGATGGCCCTACTCCATTTTAGTGCTTCAGTTTATATGACTGTGGACCAGTTTTCCATTTTGCCTCGGTCCATTTGAAATGAGCTTTAGCCCAGAGGAGATGGCAGCGTTGCTTCATGGTGTTCACAGCTTTAACCTGAATTCTTGGATGGTGATGAACTTTGTTTACTCACAGTGATGATCTGTGAGTTCATGCAATGTTTTTAAGTGAATCAGAACTGTTTTTAATGCAATTCTGTCTGAGAGCCCAGAAATCACAGGATCTATTGGAGCAATGTTTTCCCAATTATTTTCAGGAACATTATTTTGAAATTGTTTCACTATTTTCAGACAGTTTTTCTCAGTCTGGTGAACCTCTGCCCATCTTTACTTCTGTTCTTTTTATTCCCAGTCCTCTTCCAGACCTGTTGACAGCTTACTAATTAGTTGTGAAACGCTCCTCCAGCTCCTTCTTATTTGTACCACTTACTTTTACAGCCATTTGTTGCCTCTGCTCCAACTTATTTATATTGTTGATGCCATCAAAACTCGCTGATGTAAATAAAATAGTACTTTTATTAGTTTGAACACTGTTGGCTATCTTTCATTGTGAATAAGTATGAGTTCATGAGACATGGAATTTAACAATAATAATACAGTGTTATGTGTTGTCATCACTGTATGTTCCCATACAATGGCAAAATTGTCTCTCTGCATTTAGCCCATCCACCCCCAGGTGGTGCAGTGGGCAGCTGTTGAAGGCACCCGGGGAGGGGGATAGGATGTCCTGCTCAGAGACACCACAAGATGTGCAATGACTGGGGACTGAACTAGGGACTTTTGGGTCCCAAGTTGGCTGCTCTGCCTCTGCACCATCTCGGCCAACTTAATGTATTTTGTTTGAATAATCTTACGCAACTCATCTTTACTCAATTGGGGTGTAAATCGGGCGGCACAGTGAAGCAGTTGGTAGCGATGTTGCCTCTCAGCAAGAAGGTTGTTGGTTCAAATCCCAGTGACGACTGGATTTGGGCACCAGTGATCCCCATTCAACCTGAAAAGGAAGAAACGGGTAAAGATGGATGGATGGATGGATGGATGGATGGTGTAAATTTTATGCTCGCTATCGTTCAACATATTCCTCTCATACATTCCTGTTGTTGTCTCAGCAGTAAGAGCCCACAGGCCATGGCAGCAAGCAGGGACAGCCTCTGGAATTAGGAGCAGTGGCACACAAACAACATGCCATCTGGCCAGACTTCAGCTGGGTTTCAATTAAGGGCTTGATTTGCATTCTGAGATCCATCCCCACGCATCAAGGGAAACGACTTATCTATGTGCAACTTGATTAATATGTCCAGTCAGCAGCCATAGGGCCCATACGCTGCCTGTCCTCCCAGAGACCTAATCCTGAATAGCATAAGTCTGACTGGATTTTGGGGAATGGGAATTCAAATGCAGCTCTGTTCATTGAATGAATGAGGAGGGGTTGACTGCTTACCATTCAGATCACTGCGCCGGCAGAGGGATTGGGGCGACACAGACAGTGTGACAACAGTGAACTGCAGACCTCACTGCTGCCAAGCAGGGGGAGACCGATCCGGACACTACAACACACACAGGTGTGCACGCTAACACTCGCTGCGCCAAGCGCAGTCATCCCGCTTGTCGCGCCTCGCAGCACAAACTCAACAGGGCCCTTGGCAGGCGTGCGCTCATAACGCCAGTTGGGCTCCTGGCTTGATTAGCCATTAGCTGCAGCGTGGCGACAGCTGATGTGCAAAGAGAGGGAGAGAAACAGGGAGCGCTTGTCGAGACAGTTTTTCAGCTGAAACAGGCGGCAAGGACTGAGGATTAGCTGACACCGGCCCCTGACACTACGAGACGCGAGTGATGATTCGCCCGCTGCTTGCTTCACCTCCGTGTGTGTATGCACACGTATTCTCTTCTTTCTAGCCTACCTTCGGCTGCTGGGATAGGTTTTCATATTTTCCGTGACAGGCTCTTAATCGCCTTGACCACATAAGACAGCACATTTCAGCACGTACATCAAGGTCACCCCACCAGCTGCGCCTCAGACTTTTTTCACCCCGGGAATCTAAACTTGTTTACCGTGCCCGTGTATGAAAGGAGCCTTCTCTGCCTCCACCTTCCCCAGCATCAGCTGCTCATACACCGCTCGAAAAAGTCTTTCTCAGATGATACTTCTGCTCCTCAGGGTGCTACAAGGCCAGGAGCGAGATCTCCATTCTTTTCAAATCACCTTTAAATAGTTGGTTGCTGTGGAGCTCAGCAAACATGAGAGGCTGTTTACTCGTCTGCCTCAGCTGCACAGCAGCATGAAATTTTAGTCGAGCTCATATTAAAGTTTCAAAAACCGACAGACGAAGTTGCAGAAAACTTTTTCCATGTAGCTGGTCTCCTCTCGTCGTGGATATGGCTTTCCAGAGCACACATCATATATTTTTAAATTGTCACGCTTAATAAATATCATTAAATCATTTCTGAGCTTTTCTATTTGCATAACGCTCCGGGGCAGTTCCTCAGCTGATTTTAATACAAGTCTTAAACTTTAGAGGAGGGAGAGCTTTAGGCTCTGAGAGGAGCAGTCAGTCATCATTCAGCACTCCGTCTAAGTTCATAAAAAAATGTAAAGAGCACTGGGGGAAGTTTTTCAGCTGGTGTTTTAATTTCAGAACGTCTGCATCAAAACAGCTGTTTAAATTTACATAACCTCGATCACTGTTGCAGGTGTGTCTCTGAATTTATTAACCAATAAGAAATATTCAAAGAAAAATACTTTTCTGTTGCTTCTCATGTTTTCTAAAGTACTATCCATCCATCATCAGTGTTTCCACTACTATTATACAAGTGGGGCACCCCATCAACAGCACCAAGCGCCCCTTCTACAGAACACCCCAAGCGCCCCTTCTAAAGAACCCCCCCCCCCCCCCCCCCCCCGGCTCTTAAACTGTCAGTATAAATAATAAGCAGCGTGCTGCGCAGCTCAGGACGTGTCTCCATCCTGTAACACACCCACCCCCCCACTCCCGACAAAAATCACAGACGAGATGAGCACCCCGCCATGTTATCTAGAGGAAACACTGACCATCTTTATCTGCTTCTTCCTTTTTGGGTCGTTGGGGTCACTGGTGCCCATATCCAGATTTCACTGTGAGAGGCGGGGGACACCTTGGACAGGTCTCCAGTCCATCACAGGGACACATAGAGAAAAACAAGACAAACAACCATTCATTCTCTCACTCACACCTAGGGACAATTTAGAGTTACCAATCAGTCTAACATGCATGTTTTTGGTCTGTGGGAGGAAACTGGAGCACCTGGAGAAAATCCACACATGCACAGAGAGAACATGCAAACTCCACCCAGAAAGGTCTCCGGCCAAGATTTGAACTGGTGACCTTCTCGCTTAGAAGCAGCAGGTCTACCAACTGCGCCACCGTGCCACCCCAGATAATTATTATTAGTATTATGAATGAACTGATGTGAGTGTGTTTGTACGGTTTCATATAAGTGCAGTTTAAATATCCTGATGCATGCTCAATAGTCCAGGTTGAAAAATCTAAAAACGTTCAATCTGGTCCTCTGGACATTCAAAAAAAAAATTTTTTTTTAATGTAGAAACGTTTCGTCTCTCATCCAAAAGACTTCCTCAGTCTGAGGTGCTGTATTCAGCTCAGTCTCTTAAATAGCACCTTCTTAGAGTGGATCAACCAGTTTTGCTGCTGACAACCAAAACCAGCTGATCCCATGCTCAAGAAGGACCATCAGCCTAACAATGGGTCATTAGCACACTGATGGCTGTGTACTATTCACAGAGGGCTGAGTGATACCAGCAATCACAGCATTGTAAGAAGGGGACAGTTGAACCCGGAGGCCTCCACCCCTGTTTAATGATGGACGGTTTCTTTTCACAAAGATGGCCTCCTTTACTCCTCTCTCAAACCATCGTTCCTCTCTGTCCAGGATGTGAACATCTTCATCCCTGAAAGAGTGACCGCTGGCCTGGAGATGAGTGTAGACCGCAGAGTCCTGGCCTGATTATGTTGATCTTCTGTGCCGGGCCATCCTTTTGGCCAGTGGCTGTTTTGTTTCCCCGATGTAAGACTGATCACAGCCCTCCTGACACTGAACAGCATACACAACATTGCTCTGTTTGTGCCGGGGGACTGGATCTTTGGGATGAACCAGTCTTTGCCGTAATTTATTTTGGGGTTTAAAAGCCACTGGGACGTTATGTTTAGAAAATAAACGTCTCAGTTTCTCTGATACCCCCTCAACATATGGAATGACCACTGGTCTGGGTCTGGGTTCCTCCTTTTCACCTGTTGGCTGACTGGAGTCCTGTTTGGGTTTCTTCTCTGCTTTCAGGAAGGCCCAGTTAGGAAATCCACATTGCTCTAGACTAGAGCCTGTCTTGTGTAGGATTTCTCCTTCTGCCTGGCTCCTGAGCTAGTGGGGACACTGTCTGCTCTGTGGTACAGAGTCCTGATGACTCCTAACTTGTGCTCCAAAGGGTGATTGGGAGTCAAACTGCAAATACTGGTCTGTGTGGGTGGGTTTGCGGTACACCTCAGTTTGCAAATGTCCTCTATCAGAGACTGAGACCTCACAGTCCAAGAAAGCCAACTTGCCATTTTTTACATCTTCTCGTGTGAACTTGATGTATTTATCCACAGAGTTGATGTGGTCAGTAAAATGTTGGACTTCCTGAGATTTAATTTTAACCCAGGTGTCGTCAACATACCTGAACCAATGACTTGGTGGTGTCCCTGAAAAGGACGTCAAGGCTCTCTTTTCTACCTCCTCCATGTACAGGTTGGCAACAATAGGAGAAACTGGAGACCCCATAGCACACCCATGTTTCTGCCTATAATATTGTTGTAATATTGTTTCTCGTTTTGCTTTGTTTTGTTTTTTGAATGTCCAGAGGATCAGATTTAACTTTTTTAGATGCAGTTTAAATAATTCTGTTGTTTGACACTCAGATGTTGTGCTGAAGCTGACGCATGAGTTTAAATTTAAAGGGCTGACATTTCTTGAATCCATATCTGACCTTTCAAACGAGACTTTTAGACTAACATCATCTTCTGTTGAGAAATGATGGAGCATAGCTGATTTGATCAAACCTAATTCTGTTAGAACTTAATAATGTTACGTGGAATGTCATGCAATGTCACAAGATGTCTTTCTCAGGGCAGGTGTTGTGAGCGACTCTCAGTTACTACCACATCCTTCTTTATATATTTCTGTATATTGACTGGCCATCTTAAATAATATTTACTTGAAAATGTATTAAGTTGTTGATATACATTCAGTGATTACTTTCTGGAGGTTTCGATAAAATCCATTAAGTGGCTAATAAGATATTTTGCTACCAGACAAACAAGGTTGACTTTAATAGTTAACACTAAAGTTTTAAGCAAAGATCTTACACAATGAGTAACACTCGTGTATTGTGAGTGACTCTCGGCTACTACCACCAAATTTTACCGCAAAATCCGTAAAGTTGACTGAATGTTTTCTATGTTAACTTGACTGTGGTGGCCATCTTGAATAAGGTTGGCTCCAAATGTTAATCAGTCATAGATGTACATCTAATGGTTATACCCTGACGGTTTCATTGAAATCTGTGAACTGGTTCATGAGATATTTTGCTAATAGACAGGTATGATTTACTTGGTACTAGAATTAGTATTTGCATTCTTTTTAAAGCTAGTGCAGTTTATTAATGTGCAGAATATATGTTGGGAATCAGTCTCAGCTACTACCACACCAAATCTTTGTTCAATATGTCTATGCATGGACTGAGTTATAGTCATCGTTGTGTGGATTATTAAAATGAGCTCAATCTTCCTCTTCCTGTCTGTGCTGCAGCTGAAGGCTGGCTGCAGAGGGTGGTGATCCTGGGCTCTGAGACCCATGTGATCGAGGAGATCCAGCTGTTTGATTCAGCCCGGCCTGTGGACAGCCTGACCATCTCCCACTCCAAGGTAAGAAAACCGGCGTATGATTTATCTGAGACACCTCACGTTGATGCACAAAGATCAATATTTACAGCTCTGCATGGGAAGATCATTTACTGTATTTGGTCCTTGTCAACTCTGAGTGGAAGTGGGTGGTTGCAGGCGCATGGAGAAAGTGTAACAAAACCATAAACCTTCTGTCATTTTCCGAGATTGACCCATAAAGAAAATTGCTGTCGTTCTGAAACACTTCATCAAGTTCTGAACAGAAGCTGATTTACAACCAAACAAAAGTTGTAGTTCCTGCCTGCTGCTGTGACGACTATGCTTAGATTTAGTGTGAGCGTCCAGCTGCCTCCATTGTAAAGGCTGTCCTCATAATCGCTACGGAAATTTACAAGTTTTTTTTTTTTTTTGGTCTCCCATCATGGCGCGTAAAGGGGGAAATGTAAATACAGCCCGTCAGTCCGCTCATGCATGTTGTGAGCACATTACCAGTATTACCAGTAACTTGAAAAATAAGTGAGGTTTCTTTCAGAAATTGAGTTGCCAGATCAAAATCCAAGATGGCTGCCACCAGATATGTATACACATAGACAAGGGCATCAGAAGCATCCATATTGTGGGGGGGACACAATGAACGTGTGTAGGTGTGTGTGTGCGCGTGTGTGCGCACGTTAAAAAAAGGTGTTCACTACTGTACAAAAAAGCAACATTTCATCTAGATTTCCTTTAATTCCACACATTTAAAGCATGTTTCTCACCAAGTTTGTGTAAATTTAGCTGCGGGTTTTAAAGACGTTTTAACTTTAATACACTTTAATAGAGAGCGTCAGGTCGGCACTATTTGTCTTTATAGAGAAATAAAAAGCATCACCACTATACTTTTTTACTTGTGTTCAACGCTACTCATCTAAATGATGTTTTTCACGAAGCTTGAGGACAATAAGGTGTGGGGTTTTAAAGACATTTCAACTTTAATGCACCTGAACACACAGCGTCTCTTACACCTGCAGCGTCACAGTTACTGCTAAGCTAAGATGCTACAGACGCAGTGTTCCTCTCAAACATCATCCTAACATGTATATATGTTTATGATCAACCCCCCGGTCAACCACTGCCCACACTAAGCTGCTAAACTGGCAAGCGAGGAACACAGGTACCTCCACTTGTGCACGTTTTCTGCCGAGGCAAGAGGCAGGAAGTGACGGTGGAAAGTTGGAGGTAACCAGGAAAACCTGGAGTGGAGTTTTAGTGGCTTGAATATTCTCCTATTAATCAAGTGGAATGGATTCGTTCACGAAGAAAGAGAAACTGCGCCGCCAAAGAGAAACTGCGCCGCCTGAACTAATGTTTTATAGTAAAAGTGGGGGGGTCCAAATGAACGTTTTTTTAATGTGGGCGGGACTTGTCCCCTTCACATATAATGGTTGCGACGCCTATGCACATAGACATTAATATGTAGACGCCCCGTTGACTGGGTTGGCTTGCTGATGTGATGTAACTGTGTGCCCGCCATATTGGAGGAGTCAAAGCTGCGCTGTGAACTAATACAAACAGGATTTTAAAGCATATTTTAACTGTGAATTTTACGTTAGTGACCCAGCTTATTTAATTCACACACACTAAAGTTAATGGGAAACAGGTACCGAAAACAATGTATTAAAGTTTCTTAGTTTAGTACAATAACTTTATTGATCCCACACATCAGTAATTCATTTTTCATCAGCTGTAAAGTAGTGCAAAAAACCAGCGTACGTTACACTTTAATAATATATGAATAACAACAAAAATGTGGATTAAGCTCCTTCCACACACAAGAAAAAAACATATTTTAAATTATTTTTTGGCCATTTGAAGGCAACAAAAATAATTTAAACACCACACATACACACAGGTTATGTACACATATTATTATTAGATATAATACATGAGCAGACTAAAGTAAATAGCAGGTTGAATGAAAATTAAACAAATAAATTAATTCTGTGCGGGAATCCATTTTCCATAACGTTGACAAGTACACGCCGTAGACACTTCTAATGGTGAAAATGATGCAGACTATGGCTGAAAAACGATCAAGCGACGTGTTGAAGCAGCGCACGCACCAGACACTTTACCGACTCCGTTTTCCTCCTGACTCCACCAAGATGGTGCCGACGTAGGAACGCTGTTCAACGTCCAACGTATTAATGTCTATGTGTATGCATGTAAACTTTGTGAGCTTTATACTGTAACTTTGAAAATAAACAAAGTGTCAACTTCCATTTTGGTGTGTGGCTGTATCTAGGTGTAAAACTTTTTTTTTTTTTTTTTTATCTTGGGTACACTTTAACTGTAAGAGACAGAATCTAAGGGGGAAAAATCCAGAAAATCACTTTGCATGATTATTAAATAATCCATTTGCATTTTATTTCAAACCAACCACCCCTATCATTTGAGGATCTATGCTTTCCTAGTTTTACTTTTGCTTAAAAGTTTCCTCAGATGATTGGGGTGGCCATTAAGGTGGCTGAAGTTTAATCTATGGTGGCCAAGGCCACCACTAGCCACCCCCTGGCTCCGTCATTGCACTTGGGGATGGAAAAAATTGCTCCATCTTCTTGCCAGGATCCTTCACTCTTTGCTGCCTTGGAAAAGCAAAAAAATAAATCAAACCTCCCTCTGTTCTTCTCTTCAGTGTAACTCCTGCCCTCTTGCATGTCTTGCAGCAGAAACATGAAGGTTTACTTCATTCTCTGTTCAATACGAGTCCAGAAAAACACTCATCTTGAAAACTACAAACATTCACTATTCGAATCCCTCGTCATAACGTTTGTTCATTTCTTGATGAAACATAAATGGTAGGCTGTCAGGGGGGAAATGAAGTGTGAAATGTATGAAGTGTTGTGAATGACTCTCAGCTACTACCATCCTAATTTTAGCTCAGTATCTATAAAATTTGTTTCGTAATGAGCATTTTTGTGTTTCCCAAGATCAGTTGGAGGTGGCAGCCATCTTGAATTGGGTTGAATCCAAAAGTTAATCAGTTATAAAGTAGTTGTCAACCCAACAGTTAGTTTCTGAAAATTTTAGTCTATTCAGCAGTTAATTATTTTACATCATCTTACATAAATTGTTTAGAGTGCAGTTTGGAGGTGTTTTTGTTGTATCTCATACTCTGTATTATTTCTGTTCACCTGTGGTTTTTTCTGAGCTGATTCATTGAAAACCCTTTTGTCAGTAACTTACAATAATGGATCCACTGACAACTGGCTGGAGGTTAACAATGAGCTGTTCTCCTGGTGCCACAAACCAAATGTTTTCATCGATGCTGCCCTCTCTCAGTTTAAGTGCTCCCTCATAAAGCTAAAGCTCCCCTTCATAATCACAGTGATTACAGGCCCTCTGCTCAGTGGGGAATTGAACCCCTGCTCCGTTGGCTCTTCGGCCTCCCTGCCCCATCAGCTCAGCTCGGTTGTGTCGTGTCCCAGTGGATCAACAGCAGCCCGTCCACTGATCGATAAGGTTTGATTGAGGCATTCTCAACTCTAAAACCCACCACTTATCTCATTATTGTGGGCTTAGCTGCGACCAAACATATTTTATAACAGCTTTTGCAAAAGAAGGCCCTAAACTGGATTGGATTGGAGGAGGGTCAAGGGTGTATGTTATTGTAATTGAGAGTGATTATCCCATTATCTCCTCTAACCCATAACTCAGTCTCTCTCCTCTCGTTTGTGTTTCCTCTTTGGTCTCGTCTTTCTCTGGTTACTGTCTCTCGACTGAACGGCTGGCCTTATTCTTTGTCTGGTCTTTTTCTTGAATTCTCTGTAGAAGTACTTGTACATCGGCTCTCGTTCTGAGGTTCTCCAGTTGCCCTTGGCCAACTGCAGCCGCTATCAGTCTCAGCCAGACTGTTTGCTTGCCAGGGACCCCTACTGTGCATGGGACAACGAAGGTCGGGCCTGCGTCCGCATCGACCTCCACCGAGGGTGAGACGAGTACCTGAGTGCTCTTGTTCATTTATTCCAAGTTTGACAGGGCTGCGAATACACTTGTACTGAACTCTAACCCTGGCCCCTGAAGCAGTGGTCACTATTTTATTGCTCAGTTTAGAGAGATGTTTTTGAATCTTTCCTTCTGCAAATCATCTTTACTTTTTTCTCTTTGGTACAGGCCCACCTCCTCCCTCTCACAGGACCTCATGCTCGAGAGATTCAGTCGTGGAAAAGCCAAGTTTGATAAGCCTGTCTCCATTCCCAGCCCTGGTGAGTTCAGGGCTATACCTCACTAGTGACCCCATGTGGAAGCCAACTGTCAGTGCAGGAGAAAGTTAGCTTTGTGATAGAAACAGGAAACTGAACTAGACTTGGTGAATACACAAAGACTGAAATGAATTAATTTATTTAAGCAATTGATAACTGCCTGATGTATAATATGTTGTGAATTTATTATAGCTGACACTGAACCTCATCTTATGTCTCCTCTCTTTACCTTCTCTTCTGACCCTCATGTTATTTTGCAGAGAACTCCCGTCTGAGAAACGTCACAGTGGTTGTGGGGTCTGACATGGTGCTGCCTTGCCAACTTGTGTCCAACTTGGCCCAGCCTTTCTGGGTTGTCAATGACCGTGAGCTCCAGCTGGGTGATCCAGAAGCAGGAGGACCGCGCTTTGACCGAGCCCTCAAAGCCCTAATTGTCCCTGAAGCAGGCCAGATGCAAGCAGGCCGCTACATCTGCTACTCTGAAGAGCATGGAGTCAAGTTCCAGACAGAACGCTACCAGGTGGCTGTGGTTGCCAGTGCTCCGGTGTTTATGGAAGCCCGGGCCCCAGACAGTAGCATGGGCCTCTTCTGGGTGCTGGTCATCACTTTAGGAGCAGCGTGCCTGTTGCTTCTTGTGGCAGCTCTCTACTTGCGCAGGAGGTTGAAGCTGGCACTGGGGAAAGGAGTTGATATGAAGCCTCTTGAGAGCACCTTGGTCTACCCCGTCACTCTACCCAAGGAGCCACCCACCTTCGTGCCCAGCAAGATGCCAAGCGATGAAGACCGATTTTGGGAGACCGGCGCTAACTACTACTACTCAGACGGTTCGCTAAAGATCGTTCCCGGACACGCTCTGGGGCCCAGCAGCGTCAGCAGCACGGCGTCACCCAGCGCCATTCCCGGCCAGCCCATCCACTCCCCCAGTCGCCTCAGCCTCACCAATATCCGAGGCTCTGGTAGCAATGGCTACATCCGCCTCAACCTGAGTGCGGCAGGGGAGGAGAGGGCTAGCGGTGTTGGCGCTGGGGGCGGCGGGCTTGGAGGTCTGGGCGTGGGTGGGAACGACTACTCCAGCCCCTTCAAGGAGGAGCTTAGACGCACTCTACAGCAGAGAAGCATCCTGCCAGACGCAAACCCTGAGGAGTCGTCTATCTAGGCCTGTCTTCTTGATTCCTTGAGGTGGAAAAACAAAACAACCAACCTACCTCCCTCCTACTGAGGATGCCCGCTCTCTGTCTGTTGACTCCCATGCGCCCTGTCTCACTCCAATGCCTGTTTGGCGCTCCATAGACTTTTATAGCACACAGCATGTTGAAAACACACTAAAATACTGAGTTCACCAACATGCATTCCTGCAATTGCTGTGCTTTGAGCAACACAGTCATGGTTGTGACATTCTCTGCTTCCACTGTACAACTGCCACTTGTGTAAATTTTGTATTTTAAAAAGGATAACGCAGAGGAGACTGCTTAAGGCTTGGAAACTTGACAAATGGTGTTAATTGTTCTCGTCGGGGCACATTTTTTCTTTTACAGTTGACTTGGCCCTCGTGAAACCAGTGAGCGACAAGGGCAACTGACTGGAAACACAGACCTGATTCTGTGTTGGAGTCCCCTTTGGGATGTTTTCTGCTTACTGCACTTCAAAAAACAGGAAGCACGTCTTCCCATTTTTTGTACTTGTGAGCCAGGATTGTGAGAGCGCTATTTAAAATAAAAAGACTAATTAATCTGCAAGCAAAATGACAATCATGTCCCTGTGGCAGGAGCTCTGTGGGATTGAAAGGAGAGGAGACAAAAAGAGGACATTAAATGGAAAGAAAAGCAAACTAGAATGAACGATGCAAGGGGGGTTTCTACATGAAGGACCATATCTTAAGACTTTGTTCTGCTCAATTTAGAACCGACCCCCAACTCGCATCAGATTTGCTGCTGAAGGAGTTCTTCAGTTTCTTCAACTTTAATTTAATGTGATGGTTGGTTTGAATGGAGACTTTCTTGTTCTGCTTTTTTCTGACTTATGGACCACAGCAGTGTTCAGATGGTTGGAAAGTGACTTAACGGCTCACCTCTGTGAAAGACAATGTGAGGGCAACCTGCTTAACATTGCATTATTCTTGGCTCAGTTCTGCACGGTGACCTTCAAATCCACTGTGTTCCAAGTGCACTCCGTACGACGTTTATTAGAGTCACAGGGTGTAACAGACGAGCGCTTTGATTTAAAACCTTTTGAATTCTTGTTTGTCTCTCTAGAAAAGAAAAAGCTGTTTGCATTCAGCTCGTAGCGATGGAAGAATAATTGCACAGTTAATTCCAAATTGAAGATGACACTATGACATTAGGCACGGAGAATGTAGATGAACCCTCATTGTTGTGACGGCTGTGGATGTCTCAGTAAGTGCTTTATCTCTCGTGTGTTTAATGAGGGTGGTTACTTGCACTGCCAAGAAGGAAACTACCACTCTTCTACACACATTCATGTGGATCCCAGCCATCCTGGACTACAGAGCGATTGTGACCTCATGGACCTCCTCTTTCCTTTTACGAATGCCCAGAGACTGACCTGGGGTTACCGTGGACTTGGAATATGCTAACACAAGCTCGCACGCAAACAAAGAATGGACCGACAGATGGACTGATTGCTGACATGATGACAAACTACTGGACCCAGGAGGAAGCAGCCATGAGCCAGTGAAAGGTATTTATGTTCTCCTTTTTTAATTCATGCAAACAGATTTAAGAATCTTACTTGAAATATCTTAGATCTTACCTGAAGATCTTTGTGTATGCTCCTTTATATTGAAACTCTGGCACAACAATTTCCAGCGGTGTCAATAAAGTTCTATCATATCTTAAGATATTTCACTCGGTTTAAAAATTGAAAGCAGGTTCAAAAACTTGCCTCAATAAAACTCAAGTGTTATCAAAGGCCTAGTATTTCTTGAATGAATGAGCATTGTCTGCCACAATTTGTGCAAGCGTTTTAAACTGAGATCAACTTATGTTTAAGAAATGTGTAGCTGCTTAAGTCAAACTATGCAAATGGCATACGCAATCTCATGAGATGTGTTAGCACTCAAAGTTTGTGTTAAGAATGACTCAGCTACTACCACACCAAGTCTTGAGTCAAGCTCAATAAAATGTACTATAGCCATTTTTGAATTTGATAAGGTTGTATAACTGTCGGCTGTCTTGACTTCGAAAGTAAATGAGTTGAAAATGTGAATTCAATGAGTACTTTTAGGATTTCACGCAATTCTGTCAAGTGGTTTACAAGATATTTTGCTAACAGCCTATTTACAGTTAATGCCAAAGCTTTTATTTATTCTATTAGCACTTGAAGTAAGTATTGATGACTTTCAGCTACTACCACATCAAATATTAGTTCAATCTCTGTAGAACTGACTGAGGTATAGAAGTTTTTGTGTTTGATTAAGCTCAGTAATCTGTGGCAGCCATCTTGAATTGGAACAAACCCATATGTTGAATATGGGGTCATTTCTTTCCAAGAGTGTTAAAAATGGTTCATGAGACATTTTGGTAGCAGGCAGACAACAGGCAAAAACAATAATGCCTGTTTGCCCTTCAGCTGAGAGTGATATAAATACAAAGTTAGAGACCAGAAAGATCCTGTCAACCTTTTTTTTTTACACTTTAAACATGAGCATGTTATATCTTGTACATGTGTTCATGAGGAAACATTTTGAAGAAGAGAGCCATGGGTGCAATTAACACTTTAGCACAGTGCATAGAAACTTTTTTCTGTCAAGGTGCTCATTGCACATATAGCCTGGAGTGTTTTTAGTTTTAACTTGGCACCACTTCTCTGAAGGACCTGAGTTACACAGTACCTCTGATAATAGTGTAGGATCAGATTACTCTTCTCAGACAGTGAACTTTTACCTATTTAAACCCAAAACCTGCTGAGACATTCAGTATAACAAAATAAGTCCTTGGTCCAGGTACCACAGGTGGCGCTTTGGATCTCTGTACTGGTACATTGAAGTTTAGCATCAATTATCTACAAGTTCAAAACAAGCTGTTAAAAAGTACAGACTAACAGAGGTGGTCTCAGGGAATTTACAAAGGGCTACAGGCTCTAAATGAAAACTACTTGTAATAAAACTGCAATGGAGATTATATCTAGAACCTCTGTGGAAGATGGAGTTGACGACAGTGAAGCAATTTACTGTTTGCGCCTTAAGCAGCACCATTAACATCTCTATATGGCCTGCTAGCAATGAAATGTGCAAAACTGCCAGGAAATTCAACCCAAGCTATCTTAAACATTTGAATTAGTTGTGAGGCAGAGAAAGATCAAGACTGCAGTGGATGTGGTCCTGTTCTTAGCAATAAATGGACAGAACCATGACATATTGAACTGCACCATTCAACCAAAATCAGGTGTATTTTTGTATCTCGATGACTTATTCCAATAACTGAAACTGGGGTATAGAGGAACAAGCTGGTACATATCAATTTAAATCCCATCTTCTTTGCTTGACTAATTAAAACGTGAAGATCCATCTATCCATTATCTTCCACTTATTCTGAAGGTGTGTCGTGGGCGTAGCAGCTTGAGCAAGGAGGTCCAGACATCTCTTTCCACAGTCTTGGTCCTTCTGGGAGGACTCCAAAGCATTCCCAGGCCAACCGAGAGACAGTAGCTATGTTTACATGGACATAAGTAGTCGAATTAAACAAAAATTCTGAATAAAAATGTGTCATGTGAACGCCCCATTCAAATTATTTTTTGTTTATTCAGCTCGAGACGAAAGAATTTGTAATCAGAACGAGACGGATGGTTTACACCGATTCAGAACCCGAACAGTGTGCATGTAAACACTTGATCTGTTCATTTTTTTCCGGTCATGAAAAACTGACCTGACTGCGCATGTGCGACCTATGTCATTTCCTCCTGGCTAATGCTAATAATATTAACATGTCGAGGAAGTAAAACTGGTCGGTGAGTGACAACATTTCTACTAGAAACTTTGAAAGAGCTCAAAATGATCTGTATCACCTGTAGCTCAGTCAGGGTGTGCAGTAATGTCTCCACATCATTAAAACCTGTCGCAGGTCCATTTAGGGTGCTCAGGTTTTGTTTTCATCCTGGAAGTAAACCGGAAGTAGAACATCTTCTTCTGTGTTTTTTTTTTTAGGAGAGTTTACCACTCTGCGCATGTCAGTACTTCTGTTCAGAACAAAGCCCGCTGCATGTAAACGCTCGTCATGAACAGATTGTGCCCATGTAAACGATACATTTGAATTATTTAATCTGAAAACATTTCAATCCGGTCAAAAAATTTTGCGTATATAAACATAGCTATAGTCTCTCCAGTGTGTCCTGGGTGTTCCTGGGGTCTCCTCCCAGTTGGACATGCTCAAAGCACATCCCTAGGGAGGGGCAAGGAAGCATCCTTACCACATGGTTGAACCACCTCAATTGGCTCCTTTCGATGTGGAGGAGCAGCAGTTCTACTCCGAGTCTCTCCCAGATAAAACTTCTCACCTTATCTCTAAGGGAGAGTCCAGCTAACCTGCAGAGAAAACTCATTACAACCGCCTGTATCCGTGATCTCATTCTTTCGGTCACTACCCAGAGTTTGTGGCCATCAATGAGGGTAGGAATGCAGACAGACCAGTAAACAGAGAGCTTTACCTTACAGCTCAGCTCCCTCTTCACCACGGACTGGCACAGAATCCACAATACCGTAGACACTGCACCAATCTGTCTGTCAATCTCACGCTCTATTCTTCCCTCACTCGTGAACAAAACCCCGAGATACTTGAACTCCTCCGCTTGATGCAGAACCTCACCCTCAACCCGAAGAGAGCAATCAAATAAACAATAATAAAATAAATAAAATGTGAAAATAATTAAAATTATTTGGTATAAGAAGCTCACTGGCCACTTGATTGCACATATTCAGTGAGACTGCAACTAAAAATGTGTGTAACCAGTTGCAGCCCAGAGGAATACAACCTTTAGTGTTTCTGAGGTGTTTCTCAAACATTTGAGAACCACTGAAATGGAGTAACTTGCAGTGTTAGCAGCCTGGTTGGTTCATTTTTGGCCTCTACTTAAAATGAGCTGGCAGATTAACTTTACTTTTGCCGCAGATGCTTGCACTCCTCTCAAGAGGACTTTAATCATCATTAGTTTGGACACTGACCGTCCCCGCAGCTTTGACTGTACTTTGCACTCAGCTAACCTTAGCACTAGCAAAAATAATAAACACGTTAGCATGCTTTGATAATCTACGCTTTATTTACCTTGAAAGTTAGAACTGTAAACTGGAAATGACATGGCACCCGAGTCACCAGTGCTAACACAAGTGTTAACAGTTAG